TCACACACACACACACACACACACACACACACACACACACACACACACACATTTATCACCTATAAGCGTTTTACAAAAAATGAGGCCATATTTCTTGTAGAGGCTTTTTCTCCTATTGTATCATGAACTTCTATGTAAATTAAAATGTATCTCTCATCACTTTTACTAAAGTTACTGTTCTTTTTTGTGGATGTACCACAATTTAGCCCTACTGATGGACGCTTGAGATGTCCCTGACACATGACGACCAGCTGGTCCACACGTATCTGGGTCCCTGTCTGATCGCTTCTCCAGTCCACATTCCCGCTGCGAAATGTCTCCACAGCAGGCAAGGACGCGACGGGCCTGGCAGATCTCGCCCAACGCCCAGCGAGTCCGGCAGCGATCCTGCCTCCTGTGCGTGTGCCCCAGGGAGCCGAGGAACGGCGCCTGCAGGAGGGGACGCTGGGGGGGGGGTGGCAGCCGCTCAGCCACACCTCCCGGGAGGCGCTCGGAAGCCGGCTTACTAGGAGCTAACGAAAGACGGGCAGCCAGGCGCTCCTTTGTGTGCGTTTCACCCCAGGTCCAGCGCGCGGCCCTCCCGGACTCACCCGTGTGCCGCTTGTAATGCTTCAGCATGTTGACCTTCTGCGCGAACTTGCGGTGGCACTCCTTGCACTCGTACTCCTTGATGCCCTTGTGCAGCTTCATGTGGTGGCGCAGCGCGTGCTTGGTTTTCATGCCTGCGGGACACAAGCAGGTGGGCACCCGCCACACCCCACCGCGCCATGGACCCGCCACAGTGCGCGCACCCAGGACCCAGCACAGTGCCCGCACTCCGGACCCGCACAGTGCACGCGCTCCGGACCCAAACAGTGTCCACGCTCCGGACCCCTGCACAGTGCCCGCGCTCCGGACCCCTGCACAGTGCCCGCGCTCCAGACACCCACAGTGCGCGCGCTCCGGACCCCTGCACAGTGTCCGCGCTCCGGACCCGCACAGTGTCCGCGCTCCAGACCCCTGCACAGTGCCCGCGCTCCAGACACCCACAGTGCGCGCGCTCCGGACCCAAACAGTGTCCGCGCTCCGGACCCCTGCACAGTGCCCGCGCTCCGGACCCGCACAGTGCCCGCGCTCCAGACCCGCACAGTGTCCGCGCTCCGGACCTTCCCACAGGCACAGGTCTCCGTGAGTGCGGAACAGACGACGGGGAACGGCGGGGCGGGAGGCTTGTCTCTGAAAGGTCGCCCCACCAGCGGCGAGGCAGGCAGTTGGCCAGAGCCCTCGCCCTCAGAGGCGCCCTTGGGCATTTACTGGGGATATCTAGACAGCTCATCTCATCAAGGTGCCGGCCCCGCCCTGACGCTCAGCGCCATACCACTGGAGCTGTAAACGCACAAAGTTTACCACTGTGACCCAATCATCTTGGGACAGATGTACAAGACTGCTGAGGTTTCCTGTTGATCTTGGCGACATACATGTGATTACCATTAGGAATAAGGCCACCGGACATTAGACAACCTATGGTCTAAGCACAGACTTTCAATCTACCTTTAGTTTAACTTAAAGTCAACTTTGCTGAAGGAGGTGAAATAAAGCTATGACCTCATTCACTCAGCCCAGTGGGGAAGGGCCAGCCGGTGCAGGGTGTGAATCAGAGACCCAGAGGCTTAGCCTGGGGTCGCCCACGAGGTGGCATGCTGCACAGGAAGGGCCAGCGTGGGGGCTGCAGGGTCTGTAGGCTCCTTGTCACCCAGAAACTGGCCTGGGGCGCCGCTGCAGGCGGCGGGGCAGATTACTACGAGGCCCCTCAGTAACAGCAGGGGGAGGACTGCAGGCCCCAAAGGCCTCTCTGCAGCTGATCACCAGCTCCCTTCTAGATTACCTAGAAAATCCGCTGCCAAGGTCGATGGAGGCATGAACTCCACCATCTCCTGCAGGGCTGAACCCAGGCTTGCCTGAACCACCTGGCTGTGTCCCCTGTCAGCCAGCAGAGGGAGCAGGAGTCCCTGAAATGCCATTCGCCTGTCACCGCCATGAAGAAAGGGGTTCCTAGGTACGGGGTTGGGTAGACGTGTGTGGGCCTGGCGCTGATTGCGGGATAGTGTTTTTCCCATAAAAAAATCACACATGCTCATAGTGAAAAAACTACAGGTGATGAGAGGTTGGCCCAGAGGACAGCACTCCAGCTGCCCTCCCTTCCAGGTCACACTCCCAGATACACTGTGGCCACACAGCCTGGGCCCCCCCCAGATCCTCCCGGACCCTCCACTCTCTGGCCACCTGTAGACCCTACTGTCTGATATCGAGCCAGTGTCGGCCCTGTCAGCCCACACCTGACTATTGCTCTGCTTTTCACAGTGCGGACTCCTCACGGCTTGTGTTTGTTCTTCACAGACCCCCCCAGAGCTCCTACCATGGGCCTGGCACTGTTCCAGGAGCCAGAGGCTGTGCATGAGCCAAACTAGGTCCCCAGCTCCACGGGGGGAGGGACAGACAAGCAACGGCAGGCTGTCATGTGAGAAGGGATGATGAGAAGCAGGATAAAGTGGGACAAGGATTTTGGGGGGCGGGATGCTGGCTCATGGGGCATGGGGGGACATCAGGGGATCCCTCTCAGATGAAGTATCTCAAAAAGTGACCTGGAAGAAGTGTGTGTGTGTGTGTGTGTGTGTGTGTGTGTGTGTGTGTGTGTGTGGCGGGGGGGCGCGCTGAGAGATACTTGGGGGAACAGCATTCCTGGTGGAAGGAACAGCCAGTGCAGAGGCTCTGAGGCCACTGTCAATTAACCCCTCGGTGTTTCAAGCTGTCCCGTCACAAACAGTGCTGCAGTGCGCACATCTTTACACAGCGAACAGATTCTGTACTGCAGATAAACAGGATAAACAAGATATATTTCTAGATGTAGCTAACTCTGCCCAACTATACAATTTACACTCCCTCCCAAAGTCCGCGAGTGTGCCCGCCTCCTCCCCTCCCAGCACTGGCTGCTTCCCCAGACTATGTCGGGCACAGAGGCATCTCGACTCTGACCCTTGATGAGACGGTCACCTCAGTGTCAGCACCCAGTGGGTCAATGGACGGAAGGGAGCTGATCCTTACCGTCCTGCACCCCCAGCGCCTGGCTCCCACATGCATCTAAAATGAACTTATTCTAAATCATAAGGGAAACAGAAGAGGCACAGATGACACAGCCCCCACCCCCACTCTGTCCTCCCCATCCCAGCCAGCTGGGGGTAGCCATGTTCCTCTTTCCATTTAAAAAAAAAATCTGTGAACAGTTTTGAAATACACATGACAGCCACACTGTGGACATCTGAAGGCTCTCTCGTGGGATTCTGATTCAGTCTGCATCACATTCACAACTTACTTTGGGGAAAACAGATATTCTTTAAGTACTCAGAATTCCCAAACCTGGAACAGGGTTCTTTTTCTATCTCTAAAGCCTGGTGGTCTTCGCGCAGGCCACAGTGTCTCATCACGATTCGCCGTGCATGTTTCAGGGTACGTGAAGTATTTATTTTATTTTATTTTTTAATGTAAAGTGTTTTTGAACAAGATGTGTTCCTGTGTATCCTTGGCTACTACTGCTCTACATGGAAACCCACCAGGGTGGCACACTGGCCCCGGCTGCCGGGTGACGGGACTCTCATGACTTCTAACAGCCTCTCACTTGCAAGTCCGAGTCAGAATTTCTAAGAAAAGAATGTAAAGGAATAATACGCAATAGCATTTCCTGTAACATTATCTGTAATGATAAAAGACGGCACACACAGTAAACCTTAATAAAGAAACAAACGGTCTGGGTACAAGATCCACAGGATGGAACCCTATCAAGATCTGGAGAAAAACATTAACCTGTCCTGATACGAAAAGATCTCTAAGATGGACTTGTACGTAAATAAAAAGCAAGGTATGGAAAGAACAGGTAAGCACAAGCATTTGCTTGTCTGTGCTGGTGACTGTGATACGACAGCAAAATGACAGTACCAATATTTTGTGATTACGTGAAATAAACGTGGTAGCCCAAGTATTAATACCAGTATTTACTGCAAGTATTCAGAATTCATGAAAGAAATCATTAAACTAAACAGTAAATACATTTCAAATACAGAAATGCATGTATTATAGACATGGCTCTGACCTCAGGGCCTGCGCTGGGCACTCCTCCCTACTCTGCCGGGCCGCTGAGCAGTACCGGGGGACCCCGGGGGGCCAGGTGTGGCTTCTCCCTGCCTATCTGGGGGGGGTGCCGCATCACGCCTGTCCACCTGTGGCGCTTCCCACCTTTACCCTGCTGCACAGTCTCCTCCAGACACCGTGGGGCTGGGCTGGAAGAGATCAGGCAAAGTGGGGACAATGGCTGGAACTGAGCCAGCGTGGCCATCACTAAGGCAGGCACGGAAACTGCTCAAAATGTTTCTATGAAACGATTAACAATGGGTCTTTTGAAGAGTGTAACTGAGGTCTGAGGAGGGAATAACAACTTTATCTGGCACAGCCACCTGTGTATGGTTGGGTGGCTGGGTTACTTTTTCAAGAAAACAATCTGCATGCTACCCTTGTGCCAAGTTATTTTGAGAGACAGACAAGAAAGTGTCACCGCTGGGGAGAGGGACTGGGGTGGGAGAGAGGGTGCTTCTCACACTCTGCTTTTCTCTGTAGTTAATTCTGAAAAGAAAAATTAAAAAAAAACGAAACACCCTTACATGTAATCTTGCTTTTATGGGTGCGAGTAGGGGTATCCAGTGAGTGGAAATTATGGGGCACTTGTGCCATCCACATACTTTTTTGTTTAATTTAAAAAAACCACATAAAGGAAGATGGTTTCACTGGTGAATTCTACCATTTAAAGAAGAATTAACATTAATTAATACTTCTCACATTCTTCCAAACAATTGAAGAGAATACTCCCAAACTCATTTTATGAGGCCAGCATTACTCTGATACCAAAGCCAGACAAAGACACTATAAGAAAACTACAGAGCAATATCCCTGAGAAACAAAGATATAAAAATTCTCAACAAAATACTAGCAAACTGAATTCAACAACACATTAAAGGATATTCACCACAATCAAGTGAGATTCATCCCTGGGATGCAAGGATGGTTCAACATTCACAAATCAATAAATGTCATACATGACAGTAATAGAATGAAAGATAAAAATCACATGATCATTTCAATACATGCAGAAAAAGCATCTCACAAAATACAACATACTTTCATGATAAAAATGCTCAACAGATTGGGTACAGAATGAATGTACCTCAACATAATGAAGGACAAGCATACAGCTAACATCATACTCAACAGTGAAAAGTTAAAAGCTTTTCCTCTAAGATCAGGAGCAAGACAAGGATACCCTTCTCACCACTTCTTTTCAACACAGTCAGAGTCCTAGCTAGAGCAAATAGGCAAGAAAAAGTTACAAAAGGCATCCGGATCAGAAAGGAAGAAGTAAAATTCTCTCCGTGCACAGGTGACACGATCTTATATATAGAAAACCCTAATGATGCCACTAAAACACTGTTGGAGATAATAAATGAATTCGGTCAAGGTGCAGTATACAAAATCAACATATAGAAATCAGTTGCATTTCTATACAATAATAATGAATTATACAATAGAGAAATTAAGAAAGTAATCTCATTTACAATAGCATGGAAAACCATGAAATACTTAGGAATAAATTCAACCAAGCAGTGAAAGATCTGGACAACACAAGCTGTAAGACATTGATGAGAGAGGCTGAAGGCGACACAAATAAATGAAAAGATCTCCCGTGTTCATGGACTGGAAGAATGCTGTGAAAATGTCCCCGCTGCCCAAAGCGATCTACAGATTCAATGCAATCCTGATCAAACTCCAATGACATGTTTCACAGAAATAGAAAGGATATTCTAAAATTTGTTGGGAACTACAGAAGACCCCAAAGAGCCAAATCAATCCTGAGAATGAAAAACGGAGCTGGAGGCATCACTGTACCTGATGTATTATGTTACATATCACTAAGCTATCGTCATCCAAACAGTGTGGTACTGGCATAAAAACAGGCACATTGATCAGTGGAACAGAATAGAGAGCCCAGAAATAACCCCTCCCATATGTAATCAACTACTTTTTTGACAAGGGTGTCAGGAACACACAGTGGGAAAAGAACAGTCTCTTCAGTAAATGGTGCTGAGAAAACTGGACAGATACATGCAAACAATTGAAACTATCTTATACCACTCATAAAAATTAACTTAAAATGGATCAAATATTTAAATCTAAGACCTGAAACTGTAAAACTCCTAGAAGGAAATGTAGGAAAACAGAACCTTGACATTGGTTGAGGCAGCGATTTCTTGGGTAAGTCACCAAAAAGTACAGGCAATAAAACTAAAATGAACACGTGGGGTTACATTAAATGAAAGAGCTTCTGTACAGCAAAGGAAACAATAAATTGAAAAGACAGCCTGTGGAATGAAAGACAACGTTCCCAAACCATATATCTAATAAAGGACTAACATCTAAAATATATAAAGAACTCATACAACTCAAAAGCAAAAAGCAATTAATCCAATTAAAAAATGGGCAAAGGACCTGAATTCTTCCAAAGACCTACAAATGGCCAATAGGTACGTGAAAACGTGCTCGACAGCCTTCATCATCAGGGAAACGAAAATCAAAACCACAATGAGGTATCATCTCATACCAGTTAGGGTGGCTTTTATTAAAAAGACAAGAGATAATAAATGCTGGCGAGGATGTGGAGAAAAGGGACCCCTCGTGCACTGTTGGAGGGAATGTAAATTGGTGCGGCCACTATGGAAAACAGTATGGAGGTTCCTCAAGAAATTAAAAATTGAACTACCTTATTATGATCCAGCAACCCCACTTCTGGGTGTTTATCCAAAGAACATGAAAACAGGATCTTGATAGATATCTGTACTCCCATGTTCACTGCTGCTTTATTCACAATAGCCAAGATATGAAAACAACATAAGTGTCCATCGACAGATGAGTGGATAAAGAAGATGCGGTATGTACATCCATATACACACAGTGGAATACTATTCGGCCATGAGAAAGAGGGACATCCTACCACTTGTGACAATGTGGATGGACCTTGAGGGCATTGTGCTAAGTGAGACAAGTCAGACAGAGAAAGACACATACTATGTGATCTCACTTATATGTGGGATCTAAAAAATGGAACTTGCCAAAACAAGAGGCTACAGTGGTGGTTACCAGGGGCTGAGGGCGGTGAGACTGGAGACATGATGAAATGGAAGGGTGCAAGCTTACAGCATTACATGAATCAGTCCTGGAGATCTAACACACAACACAGTGATAGTCAACAATGTCATACTACAAATTGTGAAGTTGCTAAGAGACTGAATCTTTCGTGTTCTCAACACGAAAAAGAAGTAAGTACGTCGTGGGATGGGGGTGTGAGTTAGCCCAGCTGTAGTAATCATATTGCTGTACATCAACGTGTCAAGCCAGCGTGTTGTACACTTTAAACTTATACATTGTTATGTGTCAATTATGTCTCAGTAAAAAAGCAAATAAAGGAAAAAGGAAAACCTCTGTGGAATATAAAAATTGGTGAGATTTGTCCTGAGTCTGAACGAGGGGGGTCCTGCTGCTCCCCACTGAGGACAGCTCTGGTGGCCTCTTGTGACCCCCAAAGAAAGATCCCCTGCCCAAGTCTTCTGGGCAGTTGTTTTGTTTTTTTGTTGTTTTAAACAGAAACGGGTAACACTTTACCCTGTACCGGAATTCTCTCTTTTTAAGTTTCTCTTACTATATGGTTATTTTATTTCCTGTGAGATAGTTTATTAATGGGTTTATTGCTGACCTAATTTCTCCTGATTAGAATAAAGGCCAGAGCATTCGCTGGTCACAGTAAGTCTCCGTCTTAGGACACAGCTGGTTCTGGTTGACAGCAGATAAGAGCCGCGGACTCTGCACCTGTGCTCAGGCCACACGGCGATTCTCAGGATTATTTTGTGCTTTAAACAATTACATGTTGCGTGATTTCCCTATTTTTAAAACAATTTGTACCTTGGATTCGTCATGTCTTTGAGCCTTCTGGACTACTTTGTTTTTCCTGCAGATCCCTCCTTTAAACACTTGCTTCCCATCGTGGCTTTTTTAAGCACACGACGTAGGCCTGGGCCACCTCTGGCGGCACTGGTGACCCCTCACATTTGGCGTGTGAGCCCCCGCACACCCTTCCTGGTGGAGCTCCGGCGCCGGCTGCACGTACCTTTCCCGCACTCGGCGCACAGGTACTCCCGGATGTTGTCGTGCACGCGCATGTGTTCCTTCAGCATGTCCTTCCTGGCAAAAGACTTCCTACACTGCTCACAGGCATGGCTCTTCACACCTGAAAAACGAACGTGTGGCAATTCCAAGCCTGTAAACGCTGAAGCCCTGGTCACAGCATAAAGGCGGTAACGGGGAGGGGAGGTGGCCTCCCGACAGTTGGAAGCACGTGACTGCTGAGCCGCCCCTTCCCTCCACCTCCTCGGGACTGTTTCTTGGGCTCTTTGGCAAGGAGGAGGTCCCGAGGACACGGAGGGGGTGATGGAGCAGGGAGGGTCTGTGCTGGGAGGGGAAGCAGTGGTGATGGGAGAAGCCAGAGAAAGAAGAATGTACTAGGAGAGGGCGACGGATGGTGCTCCATGCAGGAAGCCCGTGGACAAGGCCCAGGGGCGCAGTTCAGCTCCCAACGGGAACACCTACCCGTGTGGATGAGTTTATGCCGCTCCAAGTTCCCGATGCTGTTGAAGATACGCCCGCAGATCTCACATGGGTGAATGTACCTGGAATCAGACACAAGCCTCAGGGTGGCCCAGCCTCGGGGACTGTCCCAGCAGGTACACCTTTCCTAAGCATCTTTGTCAGCACAGGTGAGGCCGGAAAGGTGCAACGTAGAAGATAAAAGACACACAGATTTTCGGCTCTCTATAGGCTGCGTGGTGTCCTCCCCACCAAGTTCACGTGTTGAAGCCCTAACCAGTTGGTTCCCCCAGTGTGACTGTGTCTGGAGATGGGTTTTTACAGGTGATTAAATTAAAATGAGGTCTCTAAGGGGGACCTGAACCCAGCATGACTGGTGTCCTTATAGAAAGGGGAAACCTGGACACAGACACGCACAGAGGGAGACGATGCGAGGACACAGGCAGAAGACAGCCGTGTACAAGCCCAGGGGAGGGGCCGGGAACAGGCTCTCCCCCGGCCTCAGAGGAACAACCCTGTGACACCTTGGTTTTGGACTTTCAGCCTCCAGAACTGAGAATAAGTTTGTCATGTGAGCCGCCCAGTCTGCCCGAGCTGGCTGCTCCAGGCTCTAACAAGGGCCGTCCACTCACTCGCTCAGGCTCAGAGCACTGGTTCCAGGCTGCAGCCAGACACGAGGCTGGCCCTCCCGGCACCTGATCACTGGAGGGAAAGGGCTCCTGGTGGCTCTGTAGGCCTGTGGTGTGACCCGGCAGGAGGGTGTGTGAGCTGGGGAGGCAGGGTGGGTGGAGCCCGGGATGAGCGAGCAAGAAGCTGTTCCCCGGCCCCGTGGGGCCGCCTTCTCTGCACCTCCCTCGGGCACCACCCCACTGGAGCCACAGCGTGGGGCCTCACTTCTGCACGTTGGGGTCCGGCAGGTTCTCGCGGTGGATGACCATGTGGGCGTGGTAGGTGGCCTTCAGGGCGAAGCGGCGGTGGCAGATGCTGCAGCCGTAGCCTTTCTCCTTGTGCACCTCCATGATGTGCTTCAGGTACTCCTTCCCACGGCCGAAGGTGAGCTGCAGACAGACACACGGCTCACAGTGCACACCGCTGGCCCCTGCGGCTCAGTGCGGTGCCCCCGCTGCCCACACAATGGGGAGAGCCAGCCACCCCGGCAGATGAGGAAGGGGCTGCCAGGGGTAGGACCAGCGCCCGGCAAAACGGTGCAGCGGGCCGGGGGAGGTGACAAGTGCACCACACCCTTCCTGGGCCTCCCTCCAGACCGCCGTTCTCTGAACCCTCCTCCTCTCCACCCACCCGAGCTCCTTGCCTCTCACCTACACCCCACCGGCCCTGACACGTGCACAGCCAGGTGCTGGGGCTCACGGAGGACACGGGGACCTGTGCTCCACGGGGAGTGAACTGCGCTCTCCCGAGCAGTGGAGCCCAATGCAGGACCAGCGCTCGTAGCTCCCATCTTCTCGTGAACAAAACCACCCCCTCAAGTGTGGACTTTCCCGCCATGCGTGCGCAGGCAGTGGGGAAGGACCAATGGCCTGAGGGGAGGAGGAGGAGCCACAGCCTGCGGCGACCTTCACAGACACGCCCGGCAGTGCCGACCAGTCAGGAGGCTGGTTCTGAGGGTGGACCATGTGACAGCAGCGAGGCCCACACAGACCATCCCTTAGAAACAGCGACATGGGGTGGCCTTCCGGCACACCCGTGATGTGCGTGTCCCCCCGGTGAGGGGGGCCGTGCCCCCTGCATGGGGCAGCCGGTGGCCTGAGACTCTGCACGATGCGCCCAGAGCAGTCGTTACCTGACACCTTTTGCAGCTGTACTTGTGAGGCTCCGAGTCCGCACTCTCGTCAGAATTGTCATCGTTTTCCTCTGAGGAGATGCCGATCTTGCCAATGAACTCCTCCCTTTGGTGGTCGTCCATCAGCGCGATGTCCTGGAACAGTCACAACGTCCGATGTCTCACACACTCGGTGCGGCTTTAGTCGGTTCTTTATTCCGACTAAATAACGAGGTTCGCCCGCATGGAGAAGGCAGGGCCCCTCTGACATGCAGAAGTCCTGCTGAGCTGCCCCTTGTGGGACAGGCCCGGGGCCACACGCAGCCTGCTCCTGTGGGCCACCTGTGCACACCCCACATCCCTGATGGTAAGCCCGCCAGGCCCCTGCCTGCCTTCAGATGATTCTGGAACGCCCAGGGCTGACACCTGCAGAGGGGTGAGGGTGGGGGACAGCAAAGTCCCTGCCCCGTGTCCCTGGGTTTGAGCCTGGTGCTGCCTGGACTGGGAACGCCTAATGTCCCTGACCTCGACGGTGGCATCTATCGACGGAATGGGGTGGGGTCAGTGGACACTAAGGCCTCTATTCCATGTGACATGGTGGGATTGCCCCGAAGTTCCATTTACTTGTCTGAAAAAGACTGTAAGAACACATCAAAGTCGTACGGACTAGGAACGCTCTGGGCGAGCGCGCCAGGGTTTGAGGGACAAGACACTGAGAAGCAGCGTTTCAGCCCATCAGCCGCTGCGAGTGGACTGGAGGAGGGCTCATCATGCATGGTGGTCGGCTTCTTCCGACGGCCACAGGGGGCTGCCATCCAGTCTCCTTGCCCATTTTCAGGCAGAGGCTGCCCGGACACGCTGACGGGAGAGCCTGCCATGCCACCCCCACCCCATGCGAGCCCCGCGGGCTGACACCTTGAAGTGGACGTGGATGTGGTCCCGGAGCACATCCACACGGAAGAACCTGCGGCCGCAGACCTCGCAGGTGTACTTCTTGTCGCCGTGGGTCAGCAGGTGCTTGTTCATGTTGCTCCTGCAGGAGAACACCTGCAGGCAGAGAGGGGACGTGGGGAAGCCTCACCAACACTGGGCTGCGCTCCGTCAACCGTCACCACGAGCCTGAGAGTTCTGTTTCCTCTTGAAAAGGTTAAAAGCTCTGGTAATGCTTGCCCACCTGCAGCCATCACTCCCCCACTGCCCGGGCCCGGTGCCCGCTGAGGGTGCACTGTGGCTCCAGGGCCCCTGTGCACTGCAAATGGCTGAGACTCGGTAACTGCACCCAAACACAGGCTGGCGCTTATGTGCCCCAACCCCCCCAGGTGGCACAGAGCCCACTTGGGAGGCCCTCTGGGGACCCTCTCTGCAGCACGTGCTCTGTATACCACGAGGGACACAGTTGTCTTGGGGACACAGCTGACCGTCACATATTCCTAAGTCATGGGAGGTGCGTCTAAGGAGATCCCAGACCCCAGAGCTTATCTGCAAAGAATACCAGCACTCTCCCTGGCACCCTGACGTGGCCTGGGCGGCAGTGCCAGGATGGGGCTCCAGCGCAATGCTGACCCAGGTCTGCACTGCCGGATGGGGCGTAGGGGCTTCGCTTCCGGACAGTCGGGGTCCAGCGGCTCTGCTAATGAGTCACCTGCCTGCCAGACCACCTTGGACACACCCGGGACAGGTCTGCTCATAAGGGTGACATCACACTTATGACATTCACTCATTCAGGAGTGCCAGCACCCACGGAACATGCCACAAGTGGGTGCCTGTGCCAGGGGGTCACTGGCACTGTCCCTGAGAAATGCCACAGGGAGACCAGCCCCGACAGGCAGAATGAAGTCCCGGGCCGCCTGCTTCCCCAGCGCGCTTGCTCCGGTCTCGGCCACAGGGACGCACCTCAGAGATGCTAACAAGGACAGCGTGAGGATGTGCGCGCAAAAGGGAACATCGTGGCAAAAGGGAAAAAGGCTCTAAAAGAGAAACGCTTATTTCTAAGCTCCTTCACTGGAGACCCAGCTCAACAGCAAAAGAGCAAAATGACAAAGGCACGAACGAGTGGCCACCGCAGCTTTAGACAACCCGAGTATCCATTTTCACCCTAAAATCTTTCCCCCTGGACACTCAGTGGGGGGAGCTCTGCGTTCCGAGGTAAGGAAATGATGGGCTTTGTACCTCAGATCCCAGGACCGAGCGCGGGGCGTTACCTTGCCACACACGGGGCATCCCGAGGGCTCCTTCTTGTAGCGGACCAAGTTCTCACCGCTCGTCTCCAGGTCTTCTCTCTTCACCCGTCTGACTCCTAGAACCCCACCCGCCCAAGCGAGAGAGTGACTCGCCACGGAGCATGTGTATATCGGCCAGTTCTACTTCAGCCCGGTGCCATTTTCAGCGGGCAGGAGAGAGGTGCCCACGGTGGGGGGACAAATAAGTGGGTGGGTGGCATGCGTCCCGTGTGCATGACGCGGGCATCAGTCCTACGTGCTGCTCCTACACAGGCTCCCACGGAAAGAAGGGACAAGCCCACGAGGCTCGGTGACATGGTTCTCACACCTGAAACCTCTGGGCAGCACGTGTCTCCCACTTTGCAGGGTGGAAGAGTTATCATGAGCTATTAGACAAACTAAAGGCCCTTCTTAGAGATGGCTCGAAGTAGACAGGCTTTTGTATTAAAAAGAGGCTAATATTCACCCTTCAAATTAGGATCAGGATGCGAAGTCAGATGAGAAAATCTTTATGGTTTTAAGGCATTAACTGTTGGGATCAAACCAGACTTTTATTGTAGAAGTTTGGGTGAAATAGGTGATCTCTGAACAAAAGAAAGGAGAGCAATTTACTTCCCATGGTCTCTTTCTACACGACTGATCCGTTCTGGAACATTCCTGCATAACATGCAGTCAGACTTAAGAACGCCCAGCAAGCTGGACAGGGGACAAATACATCATTCTCCAAGGACCCCCGGGGCATACAGTACCCCAGGTTCGGGCAGGAGCTTACCCTATGATTCAGCAGAAAGGAAAAACACCCCAATGGCCACAGCAGCGTTAGTTTATTCCAGCAGAAAATGATCTGAGTATGTGTCAGTTGTAAAATAAAGTAGTAAAATGCAACCCAGGTACAGGTATCTATCTGTCAATCAGGGAACACCTGGCACCTAGGGCCCCGCTCGGGACTTCACAAGCTGGGTCTGGTTCAACCATCCACCAGCCTAGGGGGTTGGGTGCGGTCATCCCCCCACCACACAGGTGAGAAAGCGAGGCACGGTAGCATGCCCAAGGCCACCCTGTCACCGAGTTTGGCACGTGAGGTCCTACGTGCCCACCCAGCGGATCACAGAGCAAAAACTGCTGACTCTCATGAGGCCACACGAAGAACAGCAGGTGAAGCGGCAGAGTGCCCAGGAGGAGACTCGGTCTGGGTTAAGGCAGGCGTGGCGCTCCACGGCACAGCACGTGCGTGGCAGTCAGGCTCTGCATGCAGCTTTGCTTCCCGGCTTTCTTTTTCCAGACAGCACACACAGTAGGTCCTCGAATGGTGCCATTTCGTTACGACATTGAGGTGCTGAAGGAACTTAACTCTGTTTGTGTCCCCTAGCCTGTGGTGAACCTGATTTCCTTATACATCGTTTTGCAGAAAGCAGCACAACCAACTGACGATGTAAACTGGGGACTTACCTGTGCCTCATTTGCAATTCTTTAGAAAATGATTTTTTTTTAAACTTTTATAAAAAGGTATTTTGCTCACTGAAGTCTGGTCAGAAAGAGAGCAGTGGCTTTTAGGGTAAAAATCAGGACTGCCGAGACTAAAATGCTACTTTTCATGAGGGTGTGAGAGCAGGCTCTCTAAGGAAGTTTCCCAGTTCAGGATGCACCTGCAGCCCAGGTGCGGCTCCCGGTGCTGCTCTACTTAGCGCCTGTGCCGTCCCATTC